GATTCCCATAGTGTTATTAATCTTTTTACATTTTAATCCTTAAAAGAAGACGTTCATTTGTATTTCTAAATTTTTTTTTAAGACAAAAGGTATTTTCAAATCAATTTTCATATTAATATGGACTAATTTTTTTTCTTGAACAAACTTTCTTAACCACCATCCTTATACTTTTGAATTTTTTATTGTTTAATTTATAAAAAATATTTTCTGAACAATAGATAATGAATGTTAAAGTGATTGACATGACATATGTTTGGTCTATTCAAAGATATATTTTGAAAAAAAAAAGAAGATATTCTATTTCCATGAAGGATAAATTTTTATTAAAAAGAAAAAAATAGTTACCAACCTTAACCATCATTGTTAGACCCCATTCAATTAGTTGGACTAAAAACCCAAATGAAGTCTCAAATTAGAAAATATTATTGGGAGCTTTAGAGAAGGTTTATAATGGATCCGCAAGGGGATCGCATCCATCGCTATTTTGCAATCCTTAATCAACCCCTTTCTTCTTCCTCCTCCTCCATTTTTTTCTCCCTTTCCTTCTCCAACCAGCAGGATTTGGTCTTCCTTATTTCAAATCACCACCAAACTCTACTTCTCTTCCCTTAATCAATCCACACTCACTCCAAGCCTTTTTCTTCTAAAAACTCTTTGTTTTTTCTTTTCTTCTCTTGGTGTAATTCCACTAGAATTGTAAGGTTTTCTTACTTTTATTTTCTAAATTAAAGTTAGTAATTTATTATAATTGTTAGGTTAATTTTAAGTTTAATAGTTTGAGTTATAATTTTGTATATATTTAATTTGTTATTTTATTGATTTATTACTTAAATTGTTAATTTTTGTTAATTGTTAGGCTAATTTGTTGATTAATTTGTTAATTAATTATAATTATAATTTAATTAGAATTGATTTTTAATTAATTAACTTAATTTTATTAATGTTTAGTTAATTAATTAGGTTAATTTTTTTAATCTGGTTGAATTAGAATAAATTTGTTAATTGATTCTAATTTTGTTAATTTTTCTTAATTAAGTTAATTTAATTTTTATTTGGTTAGAATTAGAATTAATTACGTTAATTTGACTCATAATTAATTAATTAATTAGGTTAATTTTTTTATTGGCTGAATTATAATTTTATTTATCTTATAAATTGTTAATTAATTGTTATTTTAAATTTTTTTTGGTTAGAATTAGAATTAATTAAGTTAATTTGATTTATAATTAATTAGGTTAATTTTTTTATAATTGGTTGAATTATAATTTTTTTATATTAGAAATTATTAATTAATTGTTATTTTAAATTTAATTTAGTTAGAATTAGAATTAATTAAGTTAATTTGATATATATTTAATTAATTAATTTTGTTTAATTGGTTGAATTATAACATTATTTATATTAGAAAATTTTAATTAATTGTTATTTTAGATTTAATTTGGTTGGATTTAGAATTAGTTAAGTTACTTTGAATTATATTTAATTAATTATATTATATTAATTTTTTTAATTGGTTAAAGTATAAATTTATTTATGTTAAAAATTGTTAATTTATTGTTATTTTAAATTTAATTTGGTTAGATTTAGAATTAATTAAGTTAATTTGATTTGTAATTAATTAATTTTGTTAATTTTGTTTAATTAGTTGAATTATAAATTTATTTATGTTAAAATTTGTTAATTTATTGTTATTTTAAACTTAATTAGGTTAGAATTAGAATTAATTAGTTTAATTATTTTGTTTATAATTATTGAAATTTGTCGAGATATGTCATATTTTATCGAACCCGAAATGTTAGAAACCTTCGAGAATTAAGGAGAAATAAGGTTGATTCAATACTATGTGATGGAGTATGGAAGATGAGTTTGAGATTTAATTTCGATAGATTATCCAAGACAATTGCTTATCTCGATATACACAAATTGATTATTGCTTAATTTAATTTCAATGTTTGTGTGATCATTTGAAGTAGTTGTTAATTGAGAAATGGGCAATTTACATGGGAGACTCTATCGAATTTTTGTTAGATGTTTAGAAAAATTATAACATATTTTTCAATCAAGTTGTTATTCATTTGTTAAACTATTTTAGGTATTATTCTTGAGTTATGCCTCATAGATTGAGCATATCTAGTCCCGAGTGTCGGTGGTCGTGGTTTTGAGGTTGATCGTACGACTAATAGTGGTAGTGTACGTGAATGTGGCACTCGCTAGTGCAAGTGTCGAGGGCCGTGGACTTGATAATGGTGTCGACACTTCGCATCCCCTCTAGTAGTGCCCTCGCTAGTTATGCCCCCACCGGTAGTGCCCCCGCTGTGGATGTCTCCACAATGATTTCTTTAGATCCAAGAAGCTTCACTAGATCCGATGATGAATGCATCATTTGGGTCATGAATAACTAAAAAATAATATATTTTACTTGTAATAATTAGTTTTATATTTTCATATACCATACAAGAATCATTATTTATTTATTTATTTATTTTATTCAACAATTTGGTTCTATCAAACAAATGTCTGTACAAAAATCTTCATAATTTTCAATGAGCGATTGATTGTCGGTGGCTCTACTTGAGAGTTTATCCCTATAGAGACGAAAGACTTCTTCTTTAATGATTTTTAGGATAACGTATTAATTATTTGCTTATATTTTATTTAAAATGTTAATTTAACATAAAAACACTAATATTATTTTTTTGCTTCATGTAGAAGCATTTTTTAAGGGATGCAACCATTGACGTGCCGATTAAGGATGCGTAGGAGAGTCCGGTGTGAAGGTGGTACGATGACATGCTTAACAATTTGAAGCATAAGAGTAACGAGACTTGTATTTGTTAAACAAGAGGTGTGAGAAGTATGACACGGGATTGATCCACTCCCGAGTATCGTGGTCGATCTCAATAAGCGTCTCGGAATCGCATGTCGGAGACGAATGGTGTCGATGTTGGCCCATCCAAGCATACTAGAGGAGTTTCTCTTTAATTGAGCACACCGAGCGTTTGGTAAATCCTATATTGTTCATTGTTCTATAAATTAATTTTTACATTTATTGCATCTTATATTATTTTTTTTATTTTTTTTAGCATAATAAATTGAGTTGTAATCCAAATTCTTATGAGTCTGTTTGTGATAACTCATAAGCGAAAAGATGGAACATTCATCGACAGTGCAATCACGGACAACAATGGTAAGGTTTTATATTTTTTTTAAATATATACACATCTATCAATATAATCTAAAAATATATTTATGATTTAATATTGTAATTATTTCAAAAGTATAGGAATGCGTGTAGTCAATGCAAGCGAGTTGATAAGGAACGACAGAAGACCGATTCATTGTCTCAAGATATCGACATGTCCAAGATATATTTGGATGTTGTTGAAGGGGAGAAGAAGTAGTGAGCGCACGACATTGGAACTTATGTATCCCAATGTTACTCACATTTGACGCCAACTCCTCCTCCGTCACTTCGTAGTATCCCGGTGGTAATATCCAAGAGATTTCTTCTTAGTATGAAGATAGGATCAAGGAGATAGAGACTACCATCTAGTAACATGTTACTCAAGTTAGCTCCATATAAAGTTAGTTGCGGACAATGATGGGATTTTTACAAAACCTGTAGTAGCACGGCGTCCCACCTACCGATCCTCCCACAACCCAAGAGTCAGCCGTTCCTCTCAACACCTAGCAACTGGAAGATGATGTTGAAGATAGTGATAATGAGAATTAAATTTCTTGCTTTTTAATTTTTTTTTAATGTTTTTGTACATCTTAACGTGTTTATATATTTATTTTATTTTAATTTTATTAAATAATATATTATGTTTTAATAAGGTATTATTTATAGTTATTTGATATTATAATTAACAATATAGGACTATTGATTTTTTTATAAAAAAATTATTTTTTTGACGATGAATTTAGCGGTGGAATTACGAGGACCTTAACAACACTCCTTGCATCACTATTTAGCAACAAAAATAGAAAAAATTGAGACAAAAATAAAACTTTTCATATGACTGTTTTAGTTCGACTTAATTCCGATTTAACGAAAAATATATATATATATATATATATATATAAAGACTAGTTGGATGTCACAGAAATAGGCCAAAGATAGGACATACTATTATTAAAATAGGACCCATTTGATAATTAGTCGTCCATTTAATAGCCGTAGCCGTAGACCACGATTGTAAGTTACATTAATATCACTCAGTGAAGAGAAAGGAAGAGCATGCATGTGTGCGAACAGTGGCTACCAAGAATAACGGCATGCCAAGAGCCGCTAGCTAGCTAGCCAGGCAATGACCAGGATTCAGGATCTATCGGATCTACGTTTGTGTATGGGTGAGTGTGGTCTTTTTCTTTCTGTCGCTCTCTAAAATTAACAAATTCAGTTGCCGACAATTCTGAGGGAATAAAGGGAATAACAAAACTCAATTTAGCCAGTAGGGACCAAAGAGTCAAATAGTATGTATTTTGCTTCTCAAATTTACTTCTTACATGTTGGATTATTTACTAGGACTATCTATATATAATGATTATATAAGAACTTCGAATTGCTTTTTATTATTATTATTTTGCTCTTTATTTATATTATATAACATGGAGAATTTATTATTCAATCCATTAATTTTCTTTGCCTAGGTTACACGCTTGAGTTGCTAACTAAGCATGGCAAAAACTTCGGAGTACCAATATTTGTTAATATTTGATAAAAACTGAAAAAAAATGCACGAACTACCAATATTCAGTAAGAAATCAATTATTATGAAACCAATAATAACATCGTACAAAAATCTTTCACATACTATATAACAATATTTGCCATGCATGATAAAAACTTAAAAAAAAAATGCACGAACTACCAATATTTAGTAAGAAATCAATTATTATGAAACCAATAATAACATCATACACAAATCTTTCACATACAGTATACGGACTAAAGAAAAACTTTGTGTCATTGCATGCATGCATGCAACGTATAAAGCTTAGTTGTGTCCCATTCCACCACCGCCGCCGCCTCCAAACCCACCTCCACCACCAAATCCACCTCCGCTGCCACTTCCTCCACCAAATCCACCACCAAACCCACTGCCAGAGCCACCTCCTTTGCCTCCTCCATATCCTCCGCCTTTGCCAAATCCACCACCGATTCCACCACCGGATCCACCACCAAAACCACCACCACCCACTCCTCCACCTTTCCCAATACCACCACCTACTCCTCCACCTTTGCCAACACCCCCACCAATTCCACCACTGACGCCGCCACCCTTTCCAATCCCTCCACCCAGACCTCCTCCTTTCCCAATTCCACCACCATTAATCCCACTTCCTTTTCTTATTCCACCTCCTAATCCTCCTCCTTTCCCTGCCCCTCCACCAACTCCTTCACCTTTTCCAATTCCACCACCATTTCCCAACCCACCACCATGTTCACCACCTTTCCCAATCCCACCTCCTTTTCCAATTCCACCTCCTAGTCCTCCACCTTTTCCAATGCCGCTACCATGTCCACCACCTTTTCCAATCCCACCACCTAAGCCACCACCCCTTCCTATCCCACCACCTAAGCCACCACCCCTTCCTATCCCACCACCTTTTCCATTCCCACTACCTAAGCCACCACCCTTGCCTATCCCACCACCAAGGCCACCACCCTTACCAACCCCTCCACCAAGGCCACCCCCTTTCCTATCCCACCACCTAAGCCACCACCCTTGCCTATCCCACTACCAAGGCCACCACCCTTACCAACCCCTCCACCAAGGCCACCCCCTTTCCTGTCCCACCACCAAGGCCACCACCCTTGCCAATCCCTCCACCAAGGCCACCCCCTTTTCCTATCCCACCACCTATGCCACCACCTTTACCAATCCCACCACCAGCACTGCCACCTAACCCACCGCCACCTCCTGCTCCACCTCCAGCACCTCCACCACCAGCTCCACCCCCGAAACCACCACCACCACCAGCTCCACCCCCGAAACCACCTCCACCACCAGCTCCACCCCCGAAACCACCTCCACCACCAGCTCCACCCCCGAAACCACCTCCACCACCCGCTCCACCCCCAAAACCGCCTCCACCACCCGCTCCACCCCCAGAACCACCACCTGCACCACCTCCCCCACCAAAGCCACCACCAAATCCACCACCCTTTCCGATACCTAGTAACTTCACTTCCTCATCTTTTACATTCGTTACATCTCTGGCAAGCACACTCGCTACTAGAACATTAAGACACAGCAGAGATAATAAAGCACCTTCCCTTGTGACAAGTACCATTTTTTTGTGACTTTAGGAGAGCGAGGTCGATCGATCGTTGATGAGAAATTCATGGATACGAGCAATGGTCTTTATAGCCCTTAATTTGATTTTGCATTAAATTATTTCAACTACTAACTGTTCGCCACATTAATACATAAATACTCCCTTAATTATCACCGCGTGTTTGGTGTATCTGTAAGATCAATGACAAAACTTTCTTGTTTTCGCGAAGTAAGCCACAACACAATAGCATGTATAAAGTTTCGTATCAAGCCCCATTTTTCTACTTTGTACTATATGTTTGCATCCAAGAAGTATAGGGGGGCCTATGCAATATGTTTTTAAGCTTCACTTATTTCTTGAAGTAAATAATATCGTCATTAATTGTATCATCTTACTCTAAAATTCATTAATTAGTTATCTTCATACTGGAATTATTAATGCATATGATTAAATTGCATTCTATGGTTTTTTTTTATTCATTTTAATTTATTGCTGTAATCATTAGCCTCTCTCTAACCTTTTATAAGAGGGGCTAAGCCTAAGCAAGATCTCTAAATGGATATTAGTAAGAAATACAAGCTATATATATATATATATATATATATATATATATATATATATAGCTTGTATTTCTTACTAATATCCATTTAGAGATCTTGCTTAGGCTTAGCCCCTCTTATAAAAGGTTAGAGAGAGGCTAATATATATATATATATATATATATATATATGTATGTATATATATCTATAACATTACTATACTTTTTGGAAGAAAAAAATAATAGTTTCTTTTAAGAAACATGATTTGTGAAGTTATTCATCCAAAAAATATAAAAAATAAAAAATAATCTGTGAAATATATACGGCAAACTAGGTACTGATATGAGTTTGAGACGATGATGCTTCAGAAAATGGATTGGACAGAATCAAATCCAACGCCAAGAACTGGTGTGGGAAAATTTTTTGCAGTTTTATTGTACCGTTGCCAAAATTAATGCAGATATAAGAAAGACTATACTAAGCCAAAAAAAAAAAAAAGAGTAAACATAGAAAAATATTTGGAGTGTGCACAACAGCATCCAAGTCTCATGTATTTTTCACTATATGTAGTCATGGAAACTTCATATAGCACTTGGGTGCTCAAACTTTTTGTACAGTAAAAAAAGAAAAAAAAAGAAAAAAGTACTTACTAAGATGCTAGGTGACTGGCTAGGTTCTTGAAACTCTGATGAATAATAGAAGATATCTTTACACGTACGCCGCTGCATGTGCTTGGTAGATGAAATATTTATAGTGTGCTTTAAAAAGCTCTTTCATGTTCAATCACATTCAACTCTCGTCAAATAAAAACATTAATCAACGCCGCTAACAATTAAATTATCCAATTTTTCTTACCATATGCCAGCTATATACAAACATGCAAGTGTTCCTTGATTCATATGCATGTCTGAATTGGCTGTCGTACGTATGGATAATTATAAATTAATTAAGTTCATGTATTCGATAAGAAATTTATTTGAGTTCCTATACTTTAATATCTCTTAATTGAGTTTCTATACATTGAAAAATTAATCAATCAAATCCATTCATTAATTTCAAAATATCATTGTGTGGCAACGTTTTAAATATTATTGGAAAGGATATTTCGGGATAAATTCACTTGATTGATTTAAAAAAAAAAAAAGTTTAGATTTTTACTATTTGTTTGAATTATGATAAAAAAAAAAAAAAAAACATGGGAGTGTGACACACACTCGGTGACACGCTGAACTCTAATTGTTGGATTCTTATCTTGTTTTTATCTCTTAGTTTCTTTTTTTCTTTATTAATAATTTCACTTAGGTCCTAACTTCTGGTATTAGAATACGAATCAGTCCTGATACTAAATAAGTTTGAATAAATATTCTTTAAACTAAAGTCATTTTTATACTCTAGAAAAATGTAATTCTAACATTATAGATTAAAACACAACATTTAACATATTATATACAATATTAATGCTTATGTCAATATATCCAAATGACAAGTGTAAATGATAATAAAAAGAGATATATTTCGAAATCTTTCAAGAATCCACAACAATTAATTTGTATCTATATACGAAATTTGATATAGTAATTCATTCAAAATTAGATATAAATAATATATTTAATAATGTACCCTATCCTAAAATTTAGGAATTGATGTATCCCCATATATATTTATATCATGTCGAATATGTCTCCAAACTTAATAAAATTGTTTTATTTTTGGTTGGTCTAGGTCACACTCCTATATTCATAATCTTAGGGATCAAAATGTAATTTGGTATTTGCATGACTCGATTTATGAGTGTTTGGTAATAAAGAATAAAATGATGGAAATGGGAATGCAGGAATCGGAATGAAAATTAAGAAATCGAAATGATATTTGTATTTCAATATTGTGTTTGGAATACTAATAAGGAATCGGAATGCAATTTAAATTTTTTAATATCCGATTTTGTATACAAATATAAATAATGATTAAAAAATAATTTTATTAAACTATAATAGTTATAAAAATAATAATGGTAATGGTAGTGATTGTGGTGGTTGTGGTGGTGGTGGTGGCGATAATGATTGCGATAGTGATGGTGGTTGTGATTGTGATAATGATGGTTGTGATGGTGGTGGTGGTTGTGATGATATTAGTAGTGATGGTGGTAGTTATGATGGTAGTTGTAGTGATGATAGTGGACGTTGTAGTTGTGACGATAGTGATAGTGGTGGTGGTAGTGGTAATGACGAGTGGTGGTGGTGGTGGTGATTGTGATGGTGGTGTTGATGGTGATGATGGTGATGAAGATAATGGTGGTAGTGGTTGTGGTTGTGATGGTGGTAGTGGTGGTTGTGGTTGTTGTAATGGTGGTGGTGGTGGTGGTGGTGGTGGTAGTTGTGGTGGTGGTGACGATGACAAAAGTAGTTAATAGATAATAAATAAATAAAATATATTATTATTTTGAAAAAAAATTCATTCCCATTCTTTATTTTTTATTCCCACATCTTATCTCGGGAATGAAGTTGTGTGTAAATTTTCATTCCCATTCCCACTCTTCATTCCTATTCCCACTTTATTCCTTTTAACCAAACAGACTATAATGTGGAAATAAAACTTCTATTCTCATTCTCACCACTCTATTCCTAATTACCAAACAGACATTAAGATTATCAAAATTTAATTAGAAAAAAAATTATACGAATTCAATTAGATTTCTTTTTCATAAGATCCAAATAGAATCTTTATAAAGTCACCCAAATATGATCAAATTTTTGCAGGTGATATTATCCATATTTCTATAGCAAATAAGACTGGAATACACTTAATCTAATTGCAGATACAAATTAGTTTTTCTCGCTTTTTTAATTATAAATATATAAATGAAGAACACGTTTATAAAGAAAATAAATAAATAAATAACATGCAACCGATGCATCTTTGGGTCAGCTACAAATTAAGACAATCAAGGTGAACTGCGTGTAACCAATAAGGGTAGAGATGTTAATTAGCTGGAAATAAGATAGATATTTGTTTTATCTGATCTAATAAATATTCGTTAAAAATATATAATGGGTATTGGAGGAGATAAAGATAAAAAAATATATATTTACTAATATAATTTCAGAATATGAGTATCCACTTTTTACCTCATTAATATCTATTAATTTATTTATATTTTTTATTAATATATAGAGAACTAATTACATAAAATTTAAAAATTAAGGACAAAAATATTTTTTTCATAAAATTTGAAGAAAAAAACTTATAAATAAATGACCAAAATTAAAAAAAAAAGTAAGGATAAAAAAATTTCTTAAAAATTATAGGGACTAAAATAAATATTTTTGACAAATTAAATTTGACGAGTATTAAATAATTGATAAACCAATATAGATCGGGTATAAATTAAATAAAGATTTATATGATAATTTTTTTATGAATAAAATAAAAAATTAAATTAATAAATCCGTTGATCGTCAAATGGACAAATATCAATTAAATGTCAAAGTAAAAATGGACAGTCTCAATATTGTACGTACCTTCATAAAGTTGGATATTATTGACGTACGCGTGAACCCACAAATCAATGACACCTAAAGAATGACATATGTAGAACTGTGTTTTACTTGTAGTTAAGGCAGGGAAAATTTATTACAACAACTTGGAAGTAGAAAGCAAGCAAAGCAGACGATCAGTACAATGACAGAGGGAGTTTAACAAGGTTAATTAGACAGGTCGATCTTCTTTCTACACAGGGCAAAACAACAGCAATAGACCAAAGTGATCCCAACAATAAAACATTACAAGTAGCAGTCAAAAGCATAAGGGTGGGATCACGAGGAACCTTACATCACTAGCTACTATTCTTAATATTGTGAATCATGTTGCTGTCCAAACGGAAACGAGATAAACCCGACATGGATCATCAGGAAAAATAAAATAAAATGGAGAGATGTACCAATCTAGGCGCTGCTGCCAAAACTATTATATATAAACAGAGAATTTATAAGAACAAATCGTAGAATTGCTTCTTGTACAGATTGAGCCATTTCTTTATGAATAAATTAAATCTTGGATTTTTAAAAACATGTATTTTAATTAGGTCCGAGGAGGACAAGACGTGGATTTAGACATAACTAATTGAATGGGCTTCACGAAAAACTTGAAAAACACTGGGAGTACCTGCCCAAATTTCAGCCTAGTTTTATCAACTTCATACTTGGGCTCCTAATTCAGTTCAAACTCAATGCCAAAATTTGGGCTAATAGTGGATTGTTTCGGCCTGGATCCTCTGTCACTGGCACCTCCCTAATCTAAATTAAGATTCCAAATTAAGGGCAGGTATTGTCCAGAATTAATAAAACCAACCCACGTTTTAATGTCTGCTAAATTTTACTTTTTCCATAGGTTCGTTCTTTGTCTAGATTCTCTCCCGGCCACCTTTAACTTTTTATTTGAATCAATGTCCCCATAAGGATGTTTGCAAATGCCAGTTAAAAACCCTTTTCGGTCGGTCTTCATTAGTACTTTAATGGAGGCAAGTTTTTTCTGTTTCTTTGTTTTAATCAACCAACCATTGACCACTTGGATTGTCGTTTAATCATAACTAAAGAGCTACGAGGAAAGACTTAAGGGCAACCTTCTTCTCCTCTTTCTAAGAGAGAGAGAGAGAAAAAAAAACCTAGGGGACAACCTCTTTTTTTTTTTTTCATAGTTTGAGAGTATTTTATTTTTATTTTGTCTAGATTTAGCTTTTGTAGTTAGATCTATAACTAAAAGGAGGTGATTAATACCGATCAATGATTTTGGATTTTCTATTAATGAAATTTGCTACTGTATCTCGTATTATTGTTAATTTATAGTGGCTCAAACTTATGTGTGTGCTTGAGTTTCAATCAATTCCTACATATACAATCCAAATTTGAAAATTTCGAAAAATTTATTTTGTCGTATAAATCATTAAAATGACTAATTGTTACTTGAAATATCATCTTACGCTATAGGTTTTTCGATTATTTCTTCAGATAGCAAGTACTTTCTCTGAATATAAAAGTACTAATTTATATATGCTTTTGTTTAGCACTATTAAAATTAATATCTTCTTTTCTGAAAAAAAAAAAAAAAGAAGAGCAACAAGAAAAAGTTTTGTGAACTTAAACTTTTTAAAACAATTCTAAATGATTTTGCAATAAACACTATGCAACATGTATTTAAGTATGGTATGAATATATTTAGTAGTATAAATCAATACAAGAGAATAAAATAAATATAAATTATATCTTATTTTATAGAACAGGATAATCCGAAATTAAATAGTTTTAATCTTTCACCACAATGTATTGTTTTGCATATTAGGATTGCTCGAATTCAAATACTCCTTAACGAGGAATATCTATATATATATATATATATATATATATATATTTGAAAAAAAAATCACAAATTATAAAAGGTTGGACCCCAATTAATTTGAGAATATGCATGACATGGATTAAGATAACTTATATGTTTAAACAAAACACATTGGCTACTCTTTATATATTTTCATGAAAAATGTTTGGTAACACTATAGTGACAGACATCATTTCTAAAAATAAAAAGGATTTAGAGGTAAATTTGAAAAATAAAAATATTAAATGACATAATACTCACTAAAATAAAGTATCATTTCTTGTATTCTTTCAAGAAAACACTACTCTTATAAAATTATAATGACTTTTTTTTACATTACTGATGTTATGTAGTACTACTTTATTTTCATTCTTTAATCATATTTACTTCCTTTCAGTAGATTCTAAGTTTCAACAATCAAAGCATTAATTCTATCAAGTTTTGGTTTATCTCTCCCTAATTTCAATAAATTGGCAACTCTAGATTTATTCCCTCCAACCATTCACTGCTTGTCATAGATATTAAGGTTGCTAATTGCCAGGAAAGTCCCTCCTTGACCATTTGTGGCCCTGTGAGTTGCAAAATTTACGGAACGTATAAGGGCATGACTGCAATTCCATTTCCTACGTGAAAGTTCCCAAAATGCATATGGGTGCGACTGATGGGTTTATTAATTACCCACTCCATTCTCCTACTATTTTGATTCTATTAATTCAGTACCTATACTGCTATTTTGAAGCATTTAGTCCTTCAATTATTTGGTTAAATTAAACAAGTGTCAAAAATCTAGTGGATCAACAATCATCTGTGTTTGACACATTTTCAAGACTTCCACTTTACCATTCAAACTCTTCAATTCTCCAACAATACCAAAAAGAAGGTGGTGGCCATGACGTGATGAGAATGATAAAGAAAAGAAAGAGAGTCACAATAAGAACAATAATAATAATAGCAATAATGATGATGATGATACATAATAGAGAGGGATGATTAATGATGACTAACGAGTGATCGGAGATAAAAATAATATATAATAGTATAAATAGGTGTTTAACATTTTTTTAATTAATTTTCCTTTCCTTATTTCAAATTGCTTCGAAATATTTTTGTTAAATTCGTATTTATTTTTTAAAAAATCAATTCAATTAATTTAATTAGACAAGTGGTCAATATCTAGCAAGGCTACCAATCATTGCTAGTGAAGTCTTGGATAGAAAATTTAAATTATAAAACACAATAGATGGTAAAGGACTCAATGGATCAAATTAATAATTGGAGGATCCAATTAATTTAAACCAATATAATAGAAGAATAATGTCTGTAATTACTAATTAACCACAGACTGATTAAAACTCACTGCCTCGAGTTCTGAACCAAAATATTTGGACATTTTTGTCATTCAAAAAGAAAATGATGGCATTGTAGAAATTTTATAAAACAATATCGTGTTAGAAAGAACGCCATATAAATCAGAATAACTAGCATCCTTTATGTCTCTATCATCTCAACAAATCCTTTCTCCCTACCTTTACGTTCTTTCTTCCTCACCGGTATTTCTCGCCTCTCTTTAAAATCGCAGACAGCAAACTTTTGGTTAGTCTTATCCGCCGCCGCCGCCGCCGCCGCCGCCACCACCTGGATCTGGTTCAATTTCAAAATCTCAGCCTAACCTATAAACCTATTTCTCTCTTGTGTATTATGATTGCTGTGTCTTTTCAAAAAAATGTTTTTTTTTTTCACAATTTTGTTGTTATTTTACCTTTTTATCCTTGAACTTGACTGCTTTTAACCTTACCAGCGATTGAGTCTCTCTTCTTTTCAACCCGTCTGGGACCTTTTCTTTCTCTCCCTTATCAATAAGAATGGTTTGACACTTACGTCCCTAAAATAAAAATCCAAATTCCTGGTCTGACTCTTTTGCCCCAAACTTAACGGCAATTTAACGTTTTAATCCTTGAAAGATGAGTCATCACTCACGTAGAGCTTTAACACCTGGCGCGTCAAAGAAGCGCAAAGACAGAGAAGCATTGGCTTATTCAATGACGCCGATTTCGGCTTCGGCTCAACCGGCTTCAAATTTTGGGGAGCCGATTTCCTGTAATCGGCTACTAGCCGGCTACATGGCGCATGAGTTCTTGACTAATGGTACTCTGCTTGGGCAGAAGTTCGATCTGGGTCGAGCAGAAGCGATGCCTTTAGCTGGCGGCTCGGTGGAGTACTCGAAGAGAGAAGAGCCGGAAAAGAAGAAGGAGCACAAAATTTATGCTGAGGTGGCAAGCATTTTAAAGAGTGAAGGGGCCCACATTCCTGGGATTGTGAATCCCTGCCAGCTCGCCAGGTGGATCCAGATGTAGAAGTTGTGTGCACGTGGCGGGATGTGATTGGGAAAAGGATTTGAGTCGTCGTCATGTGCAAGATTGTAGAGATGTTCTCTCTCTTTGAAGTGGGTGAGTCTGTCTCGGAAAGTCAGAAAAAGTCAGAAAAAACCAGAAATCAATTTAGCTAGCACAATAGTTTCGTCTGTCTCGAAATAAAGAATGTTAAACGGAAGCAGTGTTAGGTTGTGTCAGATCTTAAGTGACTCTGTTTCTGAGCTGGTTTGTTGTTTAATTTAATTTAAAATCAGATATATGGTTTCTCAATATTATTGAACATTAATTAAACATGCATTGTCAGTATGTATGGCTACAAAATGTAAGAAGCTGAACCCTTGTTTAGTCTTATTAATTCTTGTTCATTTTAGTTGTCACTTTATTATTATTATTATCATCCTTTTGTTATTCAAGGTGCATGTTCTTAGTTCTTCTAGTAAAGCAACTCCCTTTAATTTCTTACGTGCATGCATGTGGTTATAAGCTTCTACGGGATTGATGATATATAAGTTCTCGATGCCATGTGTAAATATTGAATCAGATGGTTCGTTTAGGTGCTATATATCTTGTGGGTCTGGGGATGCAAATGTATATATATTCAGGCATCTCATTGATGAGTCGGGGGAATGATTTGTCTAGTAAATTATGGAAGACGTGGCTTACATAGGCGGAGTGGGGGTTGGGTATTCTGAAGGAATGTTGGATGGCTCCTTGCATTTGATATTTGTAATTCCAGTTAGTTGTTTGATGTACCTTTCGACGCTCAATTTAGTCGTGGAGAGGTGGTGATCAAAAGAAAACTCTTTGAAGAAAATGCTCAATGTACAAAAGTCGGAAGAGAATGATAGATAAATATTTTCAAAGGAGAAGAGTTGTTCAGAAAAAAGAATCTGAAACTCTTAATTAGTGGTTAGGGTTTTTATATAAGTATGGTTTGTACAGATTGCATGGTGGGCAGGGCTTTTATAATTGTCTTTTTTCCTTCGATGTAAGGCGACAGATGATGGTGATCATTTCATCATCTGATTTTTTATGGCGTTATTATTACCATGATGAGTAGCGATTCGATTGGTATCATCATATAAAAATATTTTTATTAAATGCTCTATTTATCTTTGACAGTGGTGGAGAAAAGTAGAATTTGTTTTTCCAACTTAACGCCTTTAGGATATGATATGAGAGTTCTTAGGTTTTTTCCAGAAAAGGCACATGTCTCGTAAAGAGTATCTTTTTTTTTTTTTTTTTGGGGTCCATCAAAATGATCACTGCCCTATGCTGTGACTTATAAGTCTAAAATGGGTCCAATAGGGTTGATATTACGCTTATTTGTGGAATTTTTTTTTTAAAAAAAGAAAAAAGATGATGCATGCTTGTCTCTCCGGACGTATCAGTATTACTCATGTAGTTGTACAAGTGTTTATACACTCATAGTTTCTACATGCTCATGTAATGACGGTTTTTTGTTATTTTGTTTTTAATCTATTAAGTAATGGTGAAATGCTTTGTGGGCTGAGGAATCATGTGTATGTTTGAGCTTTTCAAAATGGATCCTTGACTGTTGAAGTCTGCATGCGTTTTAATATATTATTGATTACAGAATAGAACTTGCAGTATCTTCAAAACTAATTAACATTGAATATTGATGTTTAAGAGTCACACACACATATATATGCTTGCTTATCTTAATTTGTTGGCCTAAGCGATATAATGTTACCAATTATACGATAAGGAGCATTTTGAACTAATATAGGTAATTTAATTTGAGAAAATTGGAACTAAGTTTCAGTACAGTCATTGGTATATTGTAAGAATTTAAATATAACATTAACACGATACAATGACAGCTAATCTTTATATTTACTATCTGAAAGAGACGAAGTCTGTATAATAGAATATTATTTTAATAAAAATTACAAACTACTATATATATTTATGACAAGTAGTAAACTTAAAAATATAACATAAGGTAACTTCTAGAATTAATCACTTCCTACTTCAAAATTAATTTCCAACCTATATTTGGTAGAAACTTTGCAAGACATGGTGTGAGGGAGAAAAGTTCTGAAAGAATCAAATTGCTACTCTAGCCAGAAAAACAAGAAAATCAGGGAGGAAACAAAAAAACGTTTAAAAGGCCAAAAAAAGGTTTCAATAAGAATTTGATATACATAAAAGAAAATAAATGATTAATTGTAGATTGAGAAAAACCATCATCTGACTTGGATTTGTAGTTTTTTTTTCTTTTTTTGAAATGGATTACTAATTTTGAAATTTTGTATTATAGATTTTTTCTATGTTGTTTTGGTTTTTGTTAGTGAATTTATGGTAAAAAAGTTTTTTTATGTTGTTTTTATTGATGAATTGGATAATAATATAAATACTTCATTTTTTTACTTAAATTTTTTACTAAGTGATGTGACATCATTCAATTGGTGTCTTATCAATCATTCAATTTCGTAACATTAATTATTTAATTAAATATAATAAGATTTATTTTTTTATGATTTGAAATTCTTATTTTGTAATAGGTGCCATTTAATAAGTAAAACTTAGTAAATATTTAGCACCCCCTAGCCTTATCCTAGTACTCTCTCCATCTCATTTTTTTATGGCACTTTAACAAAACATATAATTTTTAAGAAAATGCCAACAATGTATTAATTATTGTTGACTTAGTATGTTATTATTTTTCTATTCTTGAGTTGTCTAAAGTTTTGTGCATTCTTTAATTGTAAATTCGAAAGGCACCGACAGGACACAATAGAAAATTTAATATTTGTAAAATTTTGATTTTTTTAAATGGCCAAATAAAATAGGACAGCTGAAAATTACCAAAGGACCAATAAAAATGAGAGAGAGAGACTGTTAAAAATTATGAATAAAAGAAAAAAGTAATTTGAACGTGTGAATAAATACCCTTTGTTTTGATGGATTCTCTGAGAGAAAACTCCAGACTTGCTAACCCTAGAAACCCGAAAAAGCCTAGACCTCCAAAGAAACCTCCAGATAATATTCCTCTAGCGCCCACTAATATTGCTGGTACTTCCCAGTCCAACATCGACACTCTCTCAATGTGCCATCCTTTAAGGAGAAACTCATAGGAAAGATTGAAAAACAGAAAGACAAGCTGAAAAGTGACCATGTTGATCTTCCATTAAATGCTATGATAATGATTTTTATCTCTTGTTTGGTAATAAAAAATAAAATGATAAAAATAGACATAAAACAATAAAAATAGATGTTAGATTGGAAGGAAGAAAGTAAAAATGAGAATAAAAATTATATATAGTTTCATAATTCTTGTAAAAGAAGGTGAAAATAAAAACAAATAATGAAAATCATTTTTTTAAAAATAATAATATATTATTTTATTTAGTGGATATCAATTAATTTTATTATTATCATCACGACATGACCTTACCATTATTCCTATTGGCATGTTGATAAAAAATTTTATCATTAATATTTTGCAACTATTTTTTTTTCTATCATCATTATCATTTTATTATTACTACAATCATCATCATCGTCATTTTATTATTTTCACCTCCTATTGTTGTGATATTTAACTTTTTAAAATATATATTATTATTGTTATCATTATAATCTCCTTTTCTTCTTCCACCGTTACCACCATAATCATTTTTATTATAGTTAACAAAATTATTTTTAATTATTTTTTTTATTTATTTAAAAAATTTTAAATTTTATTTTGATACCTTATTAATATTCTAAACACATTATTAGATAAAAATATCATTTCAATTTTTAATTTTTATTTTTAATAATCAAATCACACCTTAATGATAATAATCCTTTATGCCCGGAGTTCCTTATTGATCCTGTATTCAATGAGAATTTTATACGTCCATGGAAACAAGCGCTGATTGTCAAGGCTAGGGAAGTCTGTGGGTAATAAGGTTCTTTGTTTACGAGTGCACTAATTGGGAAGCCTAATGGGGAAATTAGATATTCTTGACCTAGGGCTTGATTTCTTTTTAATCAAATTTGAGAATGAGCATGATTTGGACACTGTGTTGAATGGGGGTATGTGGATGATTCAAGGTGCCTACCTTACAGTTCACCATTGGACTCCTGAATTTCGCGCTTCTGAAGCGACCTTTGACAAACCCTTGTCTGGATACGGTTTCCTAAGTTATCAGTATGTATTACGACGATGATGTGCTTCAAATTTTGGCTTCGGCAGTGGGTACTCCAGCGAAGGTTGATCTAAATACATCTTTTGCTGCTCGAGAGGTCAGTTTGCCTGATCAGTTTGTGTTGAAATTGATTTATCTGATCCCTTAGTTGGAAGGATATGGTTTTGATGGGGTTAGTTCATGCAGGTTTACAAACCATTTTCTTTCACTGTGGCAGCTATGGCCATAATAGAGAGGAATGTCCTACATATGTTTTTGAAAAGGCAATAATTCTAGAAGTGATCGAGCCAGTGCAACGGCCGCCTGAAGAAAGTTTCAGGACAAGGCCCCCCAAATTGAAAACAGCAAGGATGATGGAATCTGCCAATAATCTTTGGCTCTCAAAGGAAACAAATCACTTTGGACAGTGGATGATTGTGTGGAAACGCCCTAGTCATCAATTAAGAGCTTGAATTCAGGAAAACAATTTGAAAGATATTAGGCAGGATCCATCTAATCGATTTGCCTCTTGGGCTTTAGATGAGAATACTGGACTGGATGAGATTGGTAGTTTTACTGTTGGAGTCCATACTAATATGGACCAACCTATTAAGACTCTCACTAGGCCTATCCAAAAAACCTGAACTAATATTAGTTCATAAATCACGTGGACTTGTACGTGATAAGCAACCTACTGTTAAGGTGACCCCTCTTGGAGCCCAACAAATGGTGGAGCCTGGAAACAAAATTAATCAAGTTCACAACTAGGGTTGTTTGCAATTGTTACACATGGCCAAATATCTAGGCGGTCTAAAATAAATATTTATAAATTTATCATACTTC